GGGGAGACTCATCAATAATACAAATATGTAGTTAATGACTTCCCCACTTGTTAGATCTCGCATCCCACACCTCTGCACTGCTGCGGTCCCCTCGTGTCCCTCCCACCCCTCTTCCATACAGGAACGGGACAAATATAGAAATAGGAAGTCATTGCTCAAACATGGCTGTTAACCTTTTTTTGAAATTAACCGTTTCAATTCCGGCCTGCCACTCTGTTTGTGTCACACCCTTAAATCTCCGGAGGCCTCAGCGAGAAACGCCTGCGGTTTCGTTCCACCTGCCTGACGTTGAAAATTGGCTTCGTTAAAATATTCATGCTCATTCGCATTCCCAGAGTGTGCACAGACACTAACACAAGTGTAATTGCATGTTTAACTGCAAGAAAAAATGATGGGTTTGGAATAAACTGTGTTTTAGTTGTTTTCAAATGCTGATTATAATGGTAAAAAACATAACTTATTTTTTTCATGTTACACAAATGTCTTTTTCAGGATTCAAATGAGTGCTAAATGTTATTTCTCAGCAAATGATGATWAGAAAGGAAATTACACCTTTCCTGCAGAGCTGACACAAATTAGTCACATGTTCTTGTGTAAAGAGCCACACGGTGAATGCTTCTACAAGTCGAATGATGCACTAACGTCCCACCTGTCAGAGACGTTTTACAGAGAATTAAGCAGCCATAATACATCTTGAAGTGAATTACATGCTTTCTTAGTAGAAAGATGACATCTGTCAAGTCAACAACTCAGCTTTTAATAGTTGTGCTGACTATAGCTACTCTGGCTTAACGTTCCCCAACATCAGGGTATGGTTGATTATCTGTGGCAGCCATATTGAGTTAGTTTGAACTCAAAAGTTAATGTTTTGTAGATGTACATCAAAGTGATTATTTTCTGAAGATTTTATTCAAATCCATCTTTTGCTCATGAGATGTTTTACTAACAGAGACAAACAAACACACACTGATTGTTATTTTATTGTGGCCGGTAATAAAGCTGAGTAATTTATTTAGCAAACTGTTCAGAGTCTGCTGCACTTCAACAGGTTGGTTGATTCCCTGTTTAACTGTTGTCGGTGAGACAAAAACTTAAAACACATAAGATAGTTTGCAMACCAATTTAGACGTCCTTTTCTTGTTCTGGTTTTTCGTATTAGAGCACCGAATCCAGAGTTTTTATGTCTTTGATTCAAAAAGTAAAAGTGCAGGCTTGTGTGACCCTCCTCCCTCCACTTTAGGCTCACTGTATTCATTAATAAAAGATGTAACATCATGAATGGATAACAAAAAAGCAGTCCTTGCTCACAGCTAATAAAAACCGCATGAGAATAAACCAGGCTGTGCGGTATCGTCAGCAGGTATACAGGTGTAAAATAAAACAGGATGGATTTTCCTTTGCTCTCAAGGGCAGCGTGACATAATGAGCCAAGATACTGTATGAGAAGGTTTTTCATAAATGTATTGTTTTCTTCTCATTCTAAAATGAATGCATATAAAAATATCTAAATTTAGAGGATGGGGGTGAGATCCTCAATACGTTTCAACAGGTGGGTTGATGCATTTGGACAAAAACTGAATGCGACAAACAGACAAATTCACTGACATAAAAGGATAAATGCATTAAGACTTCTGTTCATTTTTTTTCTCAGAATAAAACCAAGAAGATCAAGGTCAGTTTTATTATCTTCTTTCTCCAAAATGTTTCTGGTGCAGCTTCAGCCTAAGTCTTGTTAATGAAACAAGTCTGTTGGCTAAAGTTTCTTTCAGCTTTGCTTCAAATGGAATGAAGTGTCTTCTGATGCAAAGAAGTCACGACCAGACTTTGTAAAGAGCTGAAAAACTGTTTAAATACAGTATGTGCATAAAGTTTTCAGCAATATAGTTCGAAATCATATTTAATAAGTTTAAATGTTTCAAATTTATAGAAAAAATAGTGTATTTCTATTTATTTATGTTTTTAACTAAATCTTATTTTGCAAAAAGATAGTCCAACAAGGAAATGCTCCTTTTGTTTCTTTTTTCTTTTCTTTTGTCCTGATGGTGTGTCTGCGTGTTTGATGGGGAGGTAAACGCCCTCAGAAGCTTCATATCACGATCAATGGAAGATGTGCATAGCCCTCGGAACGACGTGATATAAGACCTGCATGTCCACCTACGCTCAAGCAGCTGATTGGCGTTACGCAGGTTTCTGGCTATTATTTAAAAGCGCAAAGCGTGGACGTCTCRTTTATCCAGACTGGATCTGAGTGCAGGATCTATCCATTTCTCCACTCCACTCGGCACCAGGACGCACTGCTGACTCATTTACCAAACTATCTGCTTGGCTTAAAACAGGTAAATAACTATAAGTCGGGTTTCTTAGAAACGTATATTTACTGTATTTTATGATCTATAAGAGCTCTTCTTTCATTTTAAAATAAAATAGAGGAAGTAGTTATTAGGTAAACAAGTCTAGATGAAAACAGATTTTTTTCATTTAGTCTTCAATGGAATCTGAGTTTATTACWATTTTTCATTCGTGCGCCTTTACGCATCAGTTACGCAGCGGTTTGCGCGCAGCAGGGATTAATGTCTACCAAATAATAAAAAAAATCCATAACAATTACTTCTATTATAACGATCATCTAACAACTGTAAATGTTTTCATCAAGGTACTGCTGAGAAAATGAGAAAAGGCTTCCTCCTGGTGACTTTGTTCTTCATCATGAAACTTCGGCACAGCCACTCCAGATGTGAGGAAACCGGATCGCGCAGATCAGATGTAGGTACCGCTGCAACGCAGATTTTTCAACGTACAACTTTGTTACTAAGCTGATTTATTTTTCTCCTTTATTTGCTCGAATGCAGCAGTCTTTAAGCTTGGAAGATCTCAAGCGGAATCTTCTGAAGAGGTACACTGACTTGGATTACGACAGCTTTGTGGGGCTGATGGGCAAAAGAGACGCAGGTGAGTTCAGACCGGAGAGCGCACAGTTTGTTAGATTCACATTATTTGATTAAGCTATGCAAATACTAGAAATAGAACTACAATTTTCCTCTCTTTTCTTGTCTTTCAGATGTAGAAGATGTGGAATCACCACAAAAAAGTAAGGCACCGTCATGGCAACAGTATTCTTTATTTGAGATTGTCATAAAACAATTAATTGTCTGTTCTTCTGCTCAGGGGAACTGGATGATATATTTGTTGGTCTAATGGGAAGAAGAAGCTCAGAGTCTGGTGAGTTGTGACAGTCAGAAATCTGGGCTCCATCTCATCCGGTGYGTCAGATTCAGATTTGGACAGCATAATTCCAAACATTTATCTTCTCTTACAGATAATGTACCCTGGAGGAGAGAGTATCCAGAGAGGAGAGGCATTTTTCTTAACAGGTCCAGACTGAGGTGAGACCTTTATAAACACTATTCTTGCAATAAAGATGATATAGCTTTATCAAAACTCTGGATAATGCTTTGGATGTTGCCACTTTAAAAATGTTTTCATGAGATTTCAGCTTGTAATTTATCAAAGACCACACGTGTGATTGAGAAAAACTTAAACACACACCTGCTGTTGTTTTGCAGGTTACTTAATGGGCTGTAAACACTAATACTGAAACAACTTTCACGTTTCTACATAACCAGAAAAATCACAGAGAGCACAAGCTGATGGAAGAAGATATTCTACAGCTGCCAGCTGAAGTCACCATAAACCAAACAGATTGTAATTGTTTCATCTGGGAAAAAGAAACAGCCTGATTTCACCTGATCATTTATATTTCTTTGTCATTATCCATTTGTTTTGTTCAAAGTTCCAAATAAACCTGATTTTTTTATACATAATTTGCCTTTTTGTTGCTGTGTGAGTGATTTTTTTAAAGCCAGTGGAGACAATAATGGACACATGTTGATTACACAGAAAATGCCTTGACAAATCAGTGGAATTTTATTTTTTTAAACCAGCATTCTTGTCAGAGTTGACATTAAATTACCCCTTAAAAAGAAATGAACTAGACACAGACATAAGTATTCAGTTTAAAACAGTTTGTCAACTCTGACAATTCTCAAACACAAATCAAGTAATTAAGATCAATTTGCCAGGCAACGGAACAAAATGACACATTTTGTATAGTTAAAAAAAAATTAAAAAACAAAACTGAAATTCTATTTAGCCGGTGACGATGTTTTGTTAGGATATTTCAGTTTTACTTCTTGAAGCTGTGTAATGACAAAAAAGTGTGAAAAGGCTTCCTGCACTTTTTTAAGCAAACAAAGACAGATGTGAAGTACAATTAAGCAAAAAATCAGGCATTGATATTTGGGTAAGAAAAATACCCAGACTATATGCAGCTACTACCGAGCCGAATTCAATTAGCGACTGCTCCCACGAGGAGCGCTGTCCATGGAACACTGTGTGAAATATTCTGATCAGATCAAACAGGTTTGGACAAAAGACAAGACGACACGGTCATTTTAAAACCTAAGGCAGCTTTTCTAAAACAGTCACTCTTTTCTGCTCTTTTCAGTCAGTGCGGAGCGAGGAGCCACAAGTGTTTTTGATGTCGACTCTAATAGAGCTCAGAAAATAAAAAGGTGCAGCCGATCAGCCGTGTTCCTGTGAGTCTGCAGTTCTATTCTCCGGCAGTTTAAAGTTCAGCTCATCTTCCTCGCTCATCTCTGAGCGGCTCTCTTCTTTAGTTTGGTTTCTGCTGCTAATAAAAGCAGCAGCAACAGATGTGTGATTCCCTCTTTCTGTCACCTCCTGAACTGCTTTAGTTCCGGCCGTCATGGCCGACTGCGAGAGAGCGGGGAGGTTCAGGCGCTGACGTGTGGAGGGCTGATAGCGAGGCACGTAGCCGTACGCTCTCAGGTGGTAGGCGTAGTACTCCAGCGTGTACATCAGCTCTGCTTCAACATAATGGAATGACACGGCCAGGTCAGAGCAACACTGTGGACCCTGAAGAGGGGAAAACATATAGATCACAGATTTTAAATACACAGAAAGTAATAAAAATGCTCCATTCCTTAAATAAATATATCAAATATTCTGATTACAATATTTCAAACAATCCCATTTCTGAAGAGGAGACAGTAATTATGAAATAATATGTTTGAATGTGATACTGGCACCTTAATGGTTGTTCAAAAGTCTGCCTCTCTGGTGGTATGGGGTTGCATTGGGCATACAATATGGGCAGTTTACACATCTGGAAAAGCACCATCAGTGCAGAAGAGTGTCTATATATTATCTATATCAGTTGTTAAAGAAGAGGGAATGGTTCTGTCCCAACTACAACCTTTCAGTTTAAACGGTTGATAGGTTTGCCTTCTATAGTAAGTAAAATATGTATATAAAAGATTAGCAAATAATTGCATCTTGCTTTTATTTATTTAATAGAAAATGTCCCAACCTATTCAGAATTAGAGTTGTATAAACTTAACAAAGCGGGTGAACATGAGCWCTAAATACTCCACCACCAGGAGGATCTTGAACTGTTCAATTTGTTCCTACCAATTCATAACTTGCTATTCATATATATTTATTTCAAATTGCATCATATATTGACCTTTCCATCATAAGGATACAGTAAAAATCAACAAAATGACCAGATCCAGTTACTTCTGAGCCTCCAGTGTATTTAACAATTATCACAAAAAATTCAGCAACAATTACTTATAAAACAATATATTTGTTGWCATGATGCATGTTTAGATTTGTAAACCTGTGAGCATGTTTCCTTTTAGTTAAGCATCAAAAATACCAGATGATTGGGTGAAATGGTTTTAATCATTTAGGGGTTTTTTTCAGTCCTGGGGAATAACTGAACTCTGTGGCTCAGAGGCACCACCTACTGTAGACCATTAGGTTACAAAAAAAACTGCTATATGCAAAATTACTGTTCTTACACTTACAATTTTTACAATATATATTAAAAACAACATTTTCTCATTTGTTTTTATTTAACATAAAAAAATTCTTAAACATGACCTGATGAAGATTGATTAGTTTTCTTGGTACCTCAGAACAGTTTTAAACACTTAAAGTGTGTGATTGGATCAGAGTCACCCTGATTCATTTTAAATACAGAACAAATCACACTGGTTGCATCAGCAGCAGCAAATTGATCAATTTTCTTTTCCATTTTTTTTTTTTTGACGGGACATTATCTGAGCTGAAGTCGTCCTCATTAATATCAAGTGTTCATCTCAATTCACTCCCTCTTCACCGGAGTCAGGTACAGAGTCGGAGTGTGCCAGATCTGACTGTAGTCATTTAATTATGACATTTTTCTAACTTCTTCAAAGAAGACATTTTGTGCCCCTCTTTTGTAAAAGTTCCTGAGGTCGTAATAAATGTCAGTGACATGCCTCGGTCCAAATACAACTAAATATAATTACACAGTAACCATTTTCAAGCTTGTCTCTTCAGCTTTCATGTTTGCAACTCATTTCAGGGGAAAGTAACGAGGCCCTTGATTCTCTTCCCTGGGATGTAAATTTTTGAAGATGTTTGTCGACTCAAATCACACTCTGTAACTCTTGAAGAGTGCCTCCAGTACTCAGCAGTTCACAACAGCAGTTACAGAGATTCACTCTCAAATCTATAGAAGTTCTTTCAACTGCAGTTTGTTTAAATAATAATGAGCCATACCTTATGCAAAACCATCCTGCTGAAAAAAAAACATAACTGCCTGAAAACAATGATGGAATGTATTTTGCCTGCTGCCTTCAAAGTCAAAGCAAAGTTTTTGCCTAATATGTTAGGGTGGTGAGAGATGGGGATCACTCTAGGCTACTACCACACTAAGTTTCAGCTCAGTATCTGTCAGCTCAGTATCTGTAAAACTRAGCCTGTTTTTTTGTGTTTGTTAARGCCGATTAATGTGACCCATCAAATCAAAATGAGGATAAAGTCAAATTTGGTCAAAATGACCTAATTACATTTTCAGATCCCTGGCTTTAAAAGCTGCATTTTAATACCTGGATCATTCTGTTATCACAAGTAAATCCATATAAATGACTTAATGTGTCTTCTGTGGGATAAATCTTGTTCCAGCAGGAATTGAATTTGAATTGTTCAGACTGAATCTGAATGTGCATAATTTGAAATTGAATGCATTGGTTTGAAAATGAATTTCACTAAATTCAAACTGAATTTAAAGGTTTGTATCTGAATTAATTGGCTTTGAAACTGTATTTTGGTCTATTAAAAACATCAGTTTGATTACTTTAACTTTCAGTTCCAAAATTCAGATTTTTGTGTCACATCCTGATCCTTGAGAAAGTCAGCCAGAGTAATCAAACACAGATCCACAGATTTATGTTTCACTTTGGTGAAGTTTCCCTTCTGTAATGTAACAGATTTGATGCAATCCACCGTAAAAGTRAAAAAAACAGACAGTTATTTTATTGCAGTGATTAATTTTACCTATATGTATAAAATGTAACATTTTCATCACATCATGGATCACATATTGATCAGATGCTGCTGCTGACTGATCCATGATGTGATGTAAGTGTAACGTATTCTATAGGTAAAATTAATCACTGCAATAAAATAACTGTTTTTGTCACTTTTACGATGGATTGCATCAACTCTGTTGCATTACAGAAGGACGTTTCACTGACGTGAAATGTAAATCTGATTATCTGTGTTTGATGACTCTGGCTGGCTTTCTCAAGGACCAGGATGTGTGACACAAAAAGCTGAATTTTACAATGTTGTATAAAGTACCTCAAAGTGATACTTGAGTAAAAGTACAAGTATCTTATCATAAAAATACTTAGGTAAAAGT